TATAATACCGAAGAACTGTTGCAAAATAATGACAGCACAGTAAACACCGAATAATAGATACACGATTTACAGTTGAAATTCTATAGTTGATTAGATCAATTCTCCATAAACTAAATTATGATTCGTGTTACTGTTTTACTACGTATGTTAAAACTATAAAGTAGTGACATTATTCATACAGAAAAGTTAGCAGAATGGAAGTTCGACCCTTTATATCAGTTGGTGGATGTTTCCTGATTTATCTGTCAATCGGTACACTACTGACGTTTGGAAACCTCACTCCTTACTTAACTTCTTACGTGAGACAAAGAGTCAACAAGGACACAACATATGAAGAAACTAAGCTGGATTTACTATGCATTTATCTCTACATTTTCACTGCTTTATTTTGGAGGCAAACTAGGTTGTCTCATTGGACGTCGTTGGAGCATGATTATTGGTTCCTGTATTTTATGGTAAGATGTACATTTATATTTGTATTTAATAATAATAAATAATTTCTTCAAATCTGTTAAATTCATGGATGTAAATAATTATAATATACAATAACAATACATCCGTAAATAACCAAAGTCACATTAATATTTGATTAACATAGAGATGTCATTTGAGAATTAATTGGAAGAGAAGGACACACTTTTACTGAAAACCGGGGTAGTTATGTGCTATTGAGGTTTTATGAAGTGAAAAATTAAAAAAAAATATGTCGTCACATTTTACGTAATTTATGTATCTGTGTGTCCGTTTATATAAACATAATCCTATACGTCCCTGTTTATGTTTGTTGTGAAATAGTAAATTCTACTTTTATTTTTATCGTTTTTTTATCATTAATTTATTATTATTTCTATCATTTAGTTTAGTTATGAAGTTAAGATGTTACCTCGTGGTTTAACCACCAAATAAAAACCTGACCCTAATCTTAAACGAATTATATGGTTAAAATGTATTATTACTGATTGAAGTATGTTACCACGCCCAAGGTCTCCCAGATTAATTTACTCTAATCCTGCCTAAAATTATTTCAATTTGAGGGTAGTCTGGTAGAGATGCAGATGAGTAATAAAATCGAAGCGGATGTTCACGGGCCACACGCTTAGTATTATGGCGCACCAAAATATCTACTATATAAAGCAAAGTATGGGAAAACAAGTATACGGTCGTAAGTTGGTCAAAGTTAAGAATCGAGAAGCTTCGTGGAGTATCTTGAAACATGGGCACGATATCAATATGAGTAATCAGTGATGACTGAGTTCAGTTAGTTCAGAGTTAGAAAAATTATCCACTGATAGAAGTGAGAGTTATTGTGTATGTTTTGCTGTTCTGTTACTTGATCAATAAAACGTAAAATTATACAAGTACGTTTATAAGTTAGGCCTACGTTTGTTTTGGAGTTTAAATTATTGGTTTATATAATTGAAACTAAGCTTACATGTGAACATGGCTGTATTAAACGTTTATTCAAGGAATACATTAATGTGTTATCATTAGAAAGATTGAAATTAGTATTATATTACCAAATATTGCAAAATAATCCGACTAATAATAGAACACGTTACAACAGTAGCTATGGAATTATACTATTGAAAGTATATTACATCTCTGGAATATCAAATATGTTGGTACTGTATAACAAGATTAAAGATGGCGATGCTGTAAATGGAAAACAAGCATAACTGTAATGTATAGATAAAGGAACAACGATAGTGAATGTAACACAAAGATAAAG